GCTACGCCTCCCTCCTCTCTTGGCTTTTCCTGCGCTACGCTCTTCCTCAGCGCCTGTAACTCACATCGCGCACAAACTCTTCGCGCCAGGACGTAGTTGACTACGATGAGGTGTCGCGCTCGGGGTCTTCGCGCTGCTATGTCGGAGTCCATCCAGTTGCGTCCGTTCCTTGACGCGGCCAGGCCCGAGTCACATGCCCAACAAAATCTTATTAAAAAATTATTATTTTATTATCGCCTCGAAGCACGTGTCATAAAACTAGTAGCCAATTACAAATCTATCATAATCGGGGCACCCAACAAAATCCCTATCCGAAAAAGCACAATAAATTTAGGGGGCATATTTGCAGGGGAAAAATCATAAGATCAACTCAATATGCACAAATGCATTTATGAAGTGGTGCACAGTCAAGATGTTACACCCAACCTTGACGGTTGTAGTCAACTAGTCATACATGAATGTAATTTTCATATGTTTAGGGTTCAGTTCTTCTAGTTTCCGATTTGTGTCCTTATATTTCTACTTATCACATTCGATATATTGTTGAGTACTCCAATATATCACCGGAATATTTCAACATATCACTAAATATTAACATTCTCATCAATTTATCATCTTTCAGTTTAATTTTTTAGGACCAAGAACATTTAGGTTTTGCTAAATTTTTCCATCGTAAATTTCAAGACAATTTGCCATCTTACGCCAATCTTTTTTTTCTTTTTTCAATTTATCATCTTTCGGTTTAATTTTCTAGGACCAAGAACATTTAGATTTTGCTAAATTTTTCCATCGTAAATTTCGAGACAATTTGCCATCTTACGTCAATGTTTTTTTCTTTTTTCAATTTATCATCTTTCGATTTAATTTTATAGGACCAAGAACATTTAGGTTTTGCTAAGTTTTTCCTTCGTAAATTTCAGGACAATTTGCCAAGCCAATTTTTCTTTTTTCAATTTATTGGACTTAAAAACAATAGTAGATTATACGATTATATAAAGTCCTCTCACCACATCCTTACCCCCGATGATAGAGAGACAATCAAAACCTTGGCTTATTAGGAGGCTACAGCAAGTAGACCCTGTCTCTGTGTGGATGAGATAACCACGGCAGCAAACAACTGACCAGAATCTGGTGGCCGGCCGGCGACAACAGCTTCCCTCCAAGTGTGCCCTTCTTCCTCAATCAAATCAAAGTGTCTGAGATATGGTCTTAAATTCAGTCAAACAAGATTGGAGTATCTTCTGTCTCTTCTGAAGCGACTGTCGTTCGTTTGTCAGCACATCAATGGCGCCAGGTGCCACGAACATCTCCATGAACTTGTCGTCTGTTGCAGCAAACAGCTCCAGTCCAAGTGTCACCACCAGCTCGTCGCGGCTGCAAATATCAACCCACCAACCAACAATATACACACATTACAAACAAAACAAAACAAAACGAAACAGCAAGACACAGTTCATGTGTAATCAGAACAGAGAGTGAATGAAACAAAACCGCACCAGGGTGTCAAAAAACCGGAGTTCAAAGTCGATGTCACGCTCCGTTCAAGCAGAACTTCACGTATTCGAGCAAAATGTTGGGCAGCGTAGGAGCAGATGTCCGAGTACGCTGAGCCTCCTGCCCTCGAGCCCGTATCCCCATTATTGCCAAACACAAGAAGGCGGCTGTCGCCGTTCTGAAGTTTGATGAGCTCATGGTTTCTGCCATTTCCCGTCATTCGTGAAATCCGCTTTCTGGGTCCAAGTTCCACATAGTGTCCGTTGTCCCTCTTCACAACATCACACGGCATTTCGGGAGAGGGAGTCTCAGGCACAGTCATATGACTTTCTTTCAGAGCTTCTCTGGTTTCACCGCCGCCTTTCCCTGGGGTGGTTTCTTGTGCATTGCTCTTTTCTGGAGGGATGTTCTCTTGTTCTCTTTTCTCTTCATTGTTGTGGCACGAGCTCCCACCGTTTGACAGCTCCAAGCAAAATGGAACACTAGAAGAGGCTTGGCCAAATCTCAGATTACTTGAGGGAATGCCTCCGTGGAAGTTACTCTCGTAACAAACTTCAGAATATGGGCTTGTAACTGAATCAAGGTGGTGTCTAATCAATTGCTTGCTTTGCTGTGTAAGGTCGCTTATGAATCGGTTGTAAGCTCGCCTCAGTGCAGCATGAAAACCAACATAGCCTTCCATATTTCCGTTTTTCTTCCCATCTGCATATTTGGAGAGCCAAGCCAAGTACCAACCCTTTTATTGTGCAGATTAATTGAGACGTTCCAGAAGAGAATAAATGTGTACCAGGAAAGCAGAACATATGAGTTATGACTTAGGATGTGTAATAGGTTGCTTACACTCTAGTTCACGAAAATGGCTTCTTTCCAGGGCAATATCAAAGAGGTTCCCCAAAACAAAAGCCAGACGATCGCATGCTGTGTCAAGTAGGGGAGCAAGCCATGAGCGAGCTGCAGAACGAGCAATCTCGGCAGAAGCTTCTACTACACCTTTGTTTCCACCACGTCCAGCATGAGCTAGTAATATGTTGGCTACCTATTTCAGAAAAACATATATCAAATGTGCATTTCTTGGAATTGAACATTTATATTTAGCTTCTTTTTCCAGGAAGTAAAATCCAAAAGAAGCAGCTTAGTGACAGTAAATAATACCTTTTCCCTCGAGACTGGAGGGCATTCAATGGAATATGCGGCACACCTGAATTCATGCATCACTCTCTCAAAAGCTGCTCCTCCATACAGCTTGAGAGAGGCATTAGGAGGTCTTATATTCACTGCCACACCGGGCCAACTATCCAGACCACTCTCTGACTGTTCTTCTTGAGTTGTTTTGCCCCACTGCTCTGGGGCAGGATCTGCTGCTCCATCAATCAGAGCTCTCTTCACAAACAAATAACACAAAAGCAACAAGTTCTTGAAAGTAAGCAAAAATGCAAGTCACATGCTTAAACATTCTAGTACAAACTAATTTATCTTACCAGCATGGTAACCATAATTCTACCATTTACTAAAAGGGGAAATGTAAATGTTTGCGCGGAAATGAGAAGATAAAATAATTGAGATGGATATAAAGGAAGGAAATTGTCAGCCAACTGAAGTACTTGGTGAGTAAGTGTAGTAAGATTTGTATGGTTGCTTACCAAATGATTACTTAGGGAAGCTGCATACAACATAGCAGATCTGCGAAGATGAGCAACATCAGATGTAGCCTCTATTTTGGAGTCCATTCTAGCCAGCTCTATGCCAACTTCACTGCAACGCTGCTCGAGCAAAGCTAGAGTAGCTGGTGCGGCATCTTTATATCTCTTTTGAAGTTCGGACTCCAAAAAGTCTCTGAGGCTACTGAAGCCAATATGTGTACCAAACTTCTCTTCATCAAACCCACCCTTGACACCATCACGCAAATGACACAGAATTTCAGAGTCCACATGAGATATTTGCCTGCGGAACTCATCATTTGAGACTATACTTCTGTCCTTTGGGAGGGCAACAAAGAATGGGCGACAATTCTCTCCAAGGTACCCACTTGCACTCAAGTAGCGATCTACTTCCCAACGATCAGTGAACTCCTTCATTAAACCAACGAAAAAGAAAGATAAAGACAGAGAGGTGATGCATCAAAAGACAAGAAAACAGTCATGGAAGCGCTGCAATAAAGGGTTTAACAGTTATGGAAGGAGGGAGAGCAGGCAAGTGGGAGTGGTGTACCTTGAGCCGATTGTCGAATTTGGAAACAACAATCACTGTTCTTCTAAAAGAGGGATCGATTTCACGAATTGCATCCAACCACAATGATGAACACCACTCAACACTACTCTGTTGAAGGAACACGATGATCCGATGTGGAGGGCTAGCCAGTGACTTCACCATGGAAATGATTTCATCCGGTGTGTTCTCTGGTTCTCCTTTCTTAGCCTGCGCACAAACCCAGCACAAAAGACGTATCATTTAAAGGGTACCAATAAGGGTGAATGGACATTAATGTGGAAAGGCCTCTCCACCCACCTTAAGGACAAATCCAGGGGTATCAATGATTGTGAGATTGGGGCAGTGTGCATATTCAGCCCTCATCACAAGTGGCTTAGCAGAAACCGCAGCTTTTGTGATCTTCAGAAGTGCCTCCGTTCGCGACTTTATAACATCTGCAATTGCAGGTCCCGAAAGAATAGGGCTGCCGTATTCCTCAGAATCCTCTTCCTGCCGGCGAGCAGGAGTAGAGAATCAGTCAGTAACAATTGAAGACATATCACTGTCAACTGATAGTTCATCTCGGCGAATAGACAAGATGGTTCTGTAAGCCGCTTTAGGTCACAATCAAAAAACCCTAACCGCCATTTCAAATGGAAAGCCCTAGAGGTTTCTGCATTATTGGATTCAGTGAGCATATCTACGGAGTTGAAATAGGAGAAGTCTGGGACACTAGGTTTTCAAGTGCTGAAGCTAATCTGCAACAGAGAGAGAAGAGACCTGAAAACGGCAACGGGGCTCGAGAGCGGTGGGGTCATGGACCATCTGGAGTATAAGAGGTCTGCGAGTGCCCATCTCGACCTCTCGGACATTGAAGCGGAAACCGAGAAGCGCTTCGAGAAGGGAGCTCTTGCCATCTGATTGGCCACCAATGGCTACGATCTCCGGGATGGGGAGTTTCTCGCCGAATGCTACCGCTGCTGCTTGCAAGCGGTTGTATGCTTCGAACCTAGACGACGAAGAGGAGGAGTTGTGGTGGTGGAGATGGTGTTTTCTGGAGTGAGGAGTCTTGGACGGCGTGGAAAGCTGATTGTTGGCGCTCGCCGCCATTCCGCCGGCGCAGGGTTTGGAGGTGGAGGGAAAAAGCGGTAGCCGGAGCCAAATGACCAAGTTCGAATTTGAATCCCTTTTCCGTTGTTGCACACCGATTTAGGATCGTTTCGTTTTTTTTATAATAATTTGTGAAAAAAAGTGTAGACTTGTAGTAGTAAAAGTTGGGCCCAGGCCCATTTTGGATTACAAGCCCACAACAATCGTAAATGAAATCCAAACTCGAACTAGAAGGAAGGCAACCTCTCTGCAAAATTGCCAACGGAACCGATTCATTTCTTCGCAAAGGTTAAGGGCAGGGCGGACGCGCATTGCAAGCAAACAACAAGCTCCAATTCTTTCCTTCCGATGGCGTCAATTTTGCTGAAATTGCTAGCGAGACGATCGTCCACTTTGCTGGACTCCTCTTCCACCACCGCAACCAGAAATTTGAGCCTTGTTAGCAGCCAAATCAGCCAACACACCGCCAAATGGATGCAGGTGATTTTCCCTTTCAGTTTTTCCCCCGATTAGATTCACTCTTCTTTTGAACATCTAAGTTCTTTCTAGATATCCTTACTCTTGCTTAGTAGAATCAGATATTTGGAATAGATTCTTAGTTGAGTTCCTAACCTTCACGTTGGGTGTTGATACACGGGTAATTTCACCAGCTGATTAAAGTTTCGTGCTTTCAATTCAAGGGTGGATATTTTTCCATTATGTTCTTCACAATCTCATGTTCACGGTCATGAGGCATTTGCGTTTCATGCTGCCCGAATTTTAGTCTTCAAAACCACCCTCTATCCTCCAAAAGAAAGGAACAGAAGTCTCTTTCCCCTGAATTATGGCTATTGTTGCTGTATCAAATGTAACTGTAGTTTCCATTGCTGTCCTGAGAGGAATGTGCTGTTTGAATAAGAAGAAGAGCTTGAGAAAGGGTTGGTTTTTCTCTGTAGGATACAACCAAGAAATCTCCAATGGAGTTGATCAACGAGATTCCTCCCATCAAGGTTGAGGGAAGGATTGCCGCATGCGAAGGGGGTTAGTTTTGTAACTTTTATTACCTCGCTTAGTGCATCTTTATTTGTGGTTTGCTTAGTTGCTGCATATTTTGAGAGGAAATAGTACTGACGAAAAGAGATAATCTAGCTGGAGCTGTTCAGTTAATGTGTTGGCCTATGTGGGGTTTGTTTGGTTCTGCAGATACAAACCCTGCACTTGGGCATCCAATTGAGTTCATCTGCTTGGACCTGAAGGAGCCTGCAGTTTGCAAGTATTGTGGTCTGCGGTATGTCCAGGATCATCATCACTAGGAGCTTGGTACGACTTATCTCTGTATGTGAGGAAGGACAAAAGCATTTTACTACATTATATGTTACCGGGGCAATCCATGTCATCTTTGGCATGCTTTATGAACTTCTTTATGCATTCCAAAATTATAGCAGCTTGGTTTTGAGTACCAGGGGAATAAGCTTTTGATGTGTGTCTATCTTGTGAATTATCAGCAGAAATTGGGATATCATCCATTTTCTTGTTTTGATTCTATGGATTTGTATGCTTCTTACCTTGTGCAGTATTATTTGGCATCTAGGGAGATGATTTGCATACTGTATCCTGCCGAGCATGGGAATGCTATCACTTCCATAACATGTAGAGGATTGATCCCATGATTACTGGTATTGCTCACGAGCTTGATAACGAGCTTCATCTGTTCTTAAGCTTGCTAACGAGCTTGCTAACGAGCTTCATCTGTTCTTAAGCTTGCTAACGAGCTTGATATTGCAAAGACTCATAATTCTACACTGCACTTGATAGGGGTCGGGACATATTGGTTATTAGGTATCATCCTGCCATCAAAATCTGTGAGAGTTGGAGCTTCTTAGTCTGTTTGCTTAGATCTTTGAACCTGTGAATGTGATGCGTGATAGGATCACTGAGGGTGATTTCTTACTCTGTACCCAAGGATTATCTTTCACTTGAAAGGCTGAGATAGGGGAGATAGATTACATCGATCCATGCAGCATGATATACTGGCTGGGACATGTTGGAGTTTGCAAATAGAAGAAAGCTGGAAGGCGGTCACTATTGGTCTGAATGTGAATCTTAGTTTTGCGGGGAAAATATGTAATTTGAGTGATGCTTGATGTTGTTTTGGTTCATTCAAAATTGGTTGGATCGCTTAGATGAACAAGAAAACCTATGTTTGCCCACCATCATCATTTGCATCTTTCATAATCGCATTGAATATTATCCTCGACTAGGTTTCCGGGTCATCAACTTGAGTTTCGAATTGATTATTATCGTCGTATTGAGAAGTTTTTTTTTTTTTTTTGGAACACATTTATAAGTTCTTAAAAACAGAGATGGAAGAATTGCAAAATCCAGCTCTGCAATTGCTCTTGAAACCCTCCTCTGATGCTCTAAAGTCATACATGTGTACAATAAGAAAGTTCAATTGAACTTCGTGAATGTCGATTTTTGAAATTCCTTCCCGATGATCCTTTTGACTGAGACTGATAATGCTGTTTTAGTACGGCGTAGGGTCCTGTTTCAAAATTCTTCTTTGGTTAATTCCACCCTTTCGATTCGAACACATACATGCACTAATTTGAAAGGGGAAATGACATTGACAAATGCAGGAGTTTACTAGGGCGGGATTTTGCCTGAAAGTGAAGGTTTATACTGTCTGCTCCATTCACCTTATTCTTGTTTTTTTTTTAAGAAGACAGACGCTATTAACGCCTCAGATCATATATTAATAAACCGTGATTGGGAAACTCGCATAACATCGTACTCTAACCACCTACAAAGCTCAGGGCTACACACATCAACATGATGTGTTCCAAAAGGTAGGCAATGGCCAAGACTAGCAAGATAGTCAGCCGCTCTATTTCCTTCCCTATACACGTGTGAGATAACAACATCTCAGTCACGATTCAAAACATTATAGACATGTTGCGCAAGGAGGCCATGTCTGTGATCATCATCCGAACAGTTCCTGATGATTGATATTGCAGTTGAGGAGTCAAGATTGAGATGGACTTTACGATAGCCTTTGTCCCAGGCCATTTGAAGACCCGCCACTGCTCCTTTGAGCTCCGCTGCAGTAATCGAGCAGTTCCCTAGGTTGCTGGCAAAGGCCGCGGAGCATCTTCCCAAACAGTCCCGAATTAGGCCTCCAGCTGCTGCTTTTCCTGAGGGAGAGAGGACAGAACCATCTGTCTGGATTTGTACCCATCCCTCAGGTGGAGGATTCCAACCGATCTGCTCTTCTCTTCTCTCAACAGGTGGAGCAAAGCTCTTCTCCACATTTTGTTGAGCCATTATGTAGATCCTGAATCATGCTTCAATCCTGCAAACAAGGGATTTCTCCACAAAAATCTTTCCACCCAAACATTCCTCATTCCTCTGTTTCCAGAGATGCCACACAATTAATCCGAACTCAACGCCATGAACAGCATTGTTCAGGTTGCGTGCCATCCAAGTCTTGAAAGGCAAAGTCTCATCCTTGCAGGTGACTCTGGATCTGAACTTTCCCCAAATGCTCTTCGTCTTGCTGCAGCTTCTGACAATGTGTTCTGTGGTTTCTTCAGCGTCCTTGCAATGGCGGCATGTTCCATCAGTGGTGAGCTTCCTCTTCAGCCGTTCCTTGTTAGTAAGCAGCCTGTCATGTAACACCAACCAGAGAAAATGTTTGGTTCGACTAGGTCCTGGCCACATCCAGAGGTTTTCCAGAGGTCATCTTCTGTGGCATCCAGTTGGTCAGCTGCCAGCTTGTATGCAGATTTCAAGCGAAATCTGCCATCCCTCTCCAGTCCCCAGATGCATTTGTCCTCCCATAAATCCTCTTTGGGAGTTTCAGTTCCTGCAATCAAAGCCAAAATGTCAGGCTGAAAGAGAACTTGAAGCTTCGGCCAGTCCCAATCTCCCATATCGTTCGTCCAGTCCGCCACCACTGAGTCCTCATCATTTAGGGAAGCATCCTGCAGGAGGTGGTCTTTAAGGAGTAGGTCATGCTCCAGCCACGGGTGATTCCAAAAGTTGGTAGTTCTCCCATTCCTGATGCTCCAGCTTGTGGCACTCTTCATAAGAGGCATGGCTTTCAGGATTGCTTTCCAAAGGCTCAAGTGGTTGCTTCTTTTCATCGCCACGATCTGTCCATCTTTGTGTTTGAAGTATTTGCCTTGCATAACCTGCACCCAAAGGTCAGAACTATTGTTAAGAATTTGCCAGGCAAGTTTAATCATAAAAGTCATGTTTAAACTCCTAGCCGATCTTAATCCCAGTCCCCCTTGTTTTTTAGGTTTACACACATTTTCCCAGGAAATCAAGTTCACTTTCTTTTTCTCATCCCTTGAACCCCACACAAATTGTCGGATTTTCTTATCAATTAAGTCACAGACTGAGGCTGGGAGAACGGTGGTCTGCATTGCATAAGTGGGAATGGCGTTCAGAACAGAGAGGGCAAGTGTAACTCTTCCTGCAAGGCCTTCCAAGAGGTCAATTTTTGGTCAATTTTGTCGATGAGATACTTATGGGTGTTCCTAGTGATCCTACCATGCAGAACAGGCACCCCTAGGTATCTACCTAAGTCAAGAGTCGATTGAATTCCAAGTTTTTCACAGATATCTCTCCTATCCCTATCTCTAGTGTTCTTGGAAAACAGAACTCTGGATTTTTCCTTGCTCACAAGCTCGCCTGAGGCTTCACAGAATCTTTCCACACAGAGATTGATGATTTCTGCTTGCCTCAAGGAAGCTTCAGCAAAGAGGACCAGATCGTCCGCAAAAAACAAATGAGACATGGGTGGTCCTCCCGGGGAAAGACAGATGGGTTTCCACTTCTTCTCACTAACATCATTGGCTATGCAATGTCCTAATCTTTCAACACATAAAGTAAAGAGGTAAGGGCTAAGAGGACATCCCTGTCTGAGGCCTCTGCTGGGTTTGAAGCTCTGTGTTTCCCCTCCCTCCCAAAGGACTTGCATCTCCACTATGTTGACGCACTTCATGATTATTTGAATAATGCTCTGACGGAGACCAGCCAGGGTGATGGTTTCTTCCAGGAAATCCCAGTCAAGTCGATCATAAGCTTTTGCGAGGTCGAGTTTGAGGAGCATCATCCCCTTCTTGCCGGTTTTCCTTGCCATCGAGTGGACTGTTTCCTGCAGGATCAAGATATTGTCAGTGATGTGTCGTTTGGGGACAAAACTTGACTGATTAGGTTTAACCAAGTGGGGCATAAGGTGTTTGAGCTGGTTTGCTATACACTTCACCACCACTTTATACCCCACGTTACAGAGACTGATGGGTCTGAAGTGGTTCATCGAGCTGGGGGAGTCGACTTTTGGGATGAGGACCAGCAGCGTCTCATTATGGAGTCGGATGCTGTCAGGAGTAGAGAAGCATCTCTGGATGGAGTTGCAGAAGTCCTTCCCCACAAGTTTCCAGCATCTCTGAAAGAAGAGGGCATGGAAACCGTCTTTCCCCGGCGCCTTTAACCCATTCATGTCTTTGACGATGCCATGGATCTCCTCCGGAGTTGGAACTCTTGTTAGTTGATCCCATTTGTAGTTTTCCATGGTGGGAAACTAGCAGTGATGGCTTGCGGGTTACTTCTTGCTTTGGTAAACAGCTTCACATAGTGCTCTCTTGCCATCTTCTGTATCAAGTCTGGATCAGTGATCCACTCTCCTTCTTCATTTTTCAGGCTCAAGATTTTATTTCTTTTCCTCCTGCAGAGTGTGCTGGTGTGGAAGAACCTGGAATTCTGGTCTCCATGTATGGTCCAATTAGCTCTTGATTTTTGGAGCCAGAGGATCTCTTCTTGCCATAGCACCTCTTCAAGTTCAATCCGGGTCTTCCTTTCCTCCTCCCGAGAAGTGGTGGAAGGCCTTCTCACATTCACAACTTCCAGGGAGTGGAGAGCATCTGCTAGTCTCCTTTTCCTCTGGAAGATGTTCCCAAATACCTTCTTATTCCATTCTTGCAGCTTGCTTGAGAGGTCCTGCAGGGCACAAGGGAGAAGCTGGCCACATTTCCAGGAGGTGGTGACAAAGGGAAAGAAATTATCATGGGTCTACCATGGTGCAAGGAATTGGAAACGTCTCACCAATTTGGATTTGGCAGGGATGGTCTTGTTGCATATCAGGATTGGTCTGTGGTCTGACTTCATCTTGATCAAGTGGAAGACATGGGATTGAGGGAAACTGTGCTGCCATGCCAGGTTGCTGACTCACTCCTACTGTCACTCTAGAAAATGGCCAAGTGTAACCACTTCCTAAAGCGTAGTATAGCGGGTTTGGGTTTTAATGTCAACCCGGGTCCTAGATTTGATGACTACTCGGTGAATTCTGGTTATCTAGCAGTGAAACTTTAGTGCAAGTCCATATTAACAAACAAAAAAAGCAAGTTAAACGGTTGTTTTCAAGTCGAGAGAGGTCATCCGGATATGGTTCCCCCTAGACTGCAGTTAAGCCGGATTGCAATTTACCAGGTTCAGTTTTCATGAAAGTTATACTGCGGAAGGTTCTTAAACAATCTGAAGTCTCGACTAAAGGTCTCCAGACCCTCTCAATCTGAGTCTCCAGCGGGCGACTGACCTCCACCAGAGTAAACAGATTGAGGCCTTAACGAACCAAACCTCCACTACCGAATTGAATTCGGTACAGAATAGCGAATTGGCTCCTCGACTAAAGTCGTCAATTCACTACCTTCAACTAAGGATGCCCTATCAACCTAGGCAGATATTCTCGTTCTAGGTTAAAGTAGAAACAACAGGAATTTGATCAGGATTCAAGTCATTCAATCATTCAAGCCTCAATCGAATATAATCAAATCATAAACTCTGTACTTGGGTTCATACAATCAGACCTAACATACAAATCTAGGGTTCCCCATACCCAGATGAATGGGGAAACTACTCCATGGAGAAAGAAGCAAAAGCAGATTCAGACGCGGAAATCATACTGTGAAGGATGAGTTTCTGCTCCTGGTTGTCAATCGGCACTTCTCCAAGCTCAAGCCGGGCTCCAATGGTGATGAAGATCAAGCTATGGCACTTGGGAACTCTGGTTCGTCGCTTTCTCTCTCTAGGAATCGCTCTGTCTCTCTAAAACTCGGAACCCTTGATTTTTAGCCTCTTTTCCCTTAAAACTGCTGTATGTCGCGATACCCGGTCGAAATACCCGGTCGGGTATTTTGGGTCTCGACCGGGTATAATTGAAACGCGCGTTTTGCCTCAGGGAAAAATCTCCGGTCATGTCTCATAATCCCCGACCGGGGATTTAAGCTTCACGACCGGGACCCCCTCTGTTCCTCAGACGTCCAAAACGGCAAATACCCGGTCTCCTCAAAATAATACCCGGTCGGGTATTTCTGGTCATGGCCGGGTATTTTTTTTCCTCCAGCACACTTCAAGCCTCACTTGCTCCTTTCGACCCGAATCTCGTTCCTTCGCCTCGATTCCAACGTCGGGTCCTGAAATATGACATAAACGCACAACCTAGCGTGAAATCGGCTTAAAACACGAGAATCAAATCTCAAACGGCTCAAGAATAGGGGTGAAAACATGTGTAATTATCGGTCTATCAAACTCCCCCACACTTAACCGTTTGCTTTTCCCCAAGCAAACCTAGCTCAAACCAATGCAACTCTCCAGACCTCTATAGCAACCAACAACCCCGATCATAGGTAGAGGATTTCCTAGATCGTTTAGCAGCTTACGAGGTCAACCGACGCACAAGTCATCTCATAGCTTCTTCGGCGAGAACGCTAGTCTCGAGTCGGCATCATGGCAAATAGTGAACAGAGGACAAATGAATCGTGGATGAAAAGAATCTCAAAAACAAAAGATCATGGACTCACATTTTTCAAGGTGCTCTATTTTCTTCTTGAAGATGGTTGTAACCCCTTTTCTTTCTTTTTTGCTTGGTTTTCTATTTTTTTTTTCCAACGGTTCCAACCTGTTTTTCAGAAAATGGGGGCTCCCACCTAGCAGAGGTTATGCGGGAGCCCGGCTCTTACCGGCCATGCCAGGAGCGGATGTCTCGAGCCTCGTGCGGGGGAAAGACATGTAAGGGGGATGGAGGTAGTAGGTGGAAATTGGGAACGGATTCCCGTCTCCCCTTACACACTTTCGCCCTATTCGCAC